GTAAGCCCTCAATTCTGACGGTTCTCGTACCACCGCCAGGATAGAGGGATATCGCAAGGGCTAATTAAAAAAAAAAAAAAAAAAAAACCGGAAATTGAATTCAGTGAAAATTGATGAGATCGTTTTGTGTAAAATCGTGACTTGAACTGGCTTCCATTTAAAGCTGTAATTCGAAATGGAAGTCCGTATTTCACAAAAAAAAAAAATAAAAAAAAAAATAATCAATTTTCACTTCATCAGTAAAATTCAATTTCGTGATTTTATATCAAAAAGAAAAAAAATGTGCTCTTTTCGGCAGCGAGGGAATTGTGCTAGAGCGGCGGTCATTGGTGGATATCGAAGCCGGCAGCCATGGCTAAGTACGCAAGAGAGCCGGATAACCCCACAAAGGCATGCAACTTGTTGCAAGGCCAGGGGCTCCGATCTCCGGGGGCATTTCAAGAACACCCGTGAGACAGCGCAGGCGATCAAAATGATGGAGTTGAAGAAGGCGAAGAGATACCTTGAGGATGTCATCGCCCACAAGCAAGCCGTTCCATTCCCCTGGTTTTGAGGTGGTGTTGGCCGCACCACTCAGCCGAAGAACAAGGGTGAGACCGATGGGCAGGCTCGATGGCCCGCGAAGTCTGCCAATTTCCTGCCGGGACTCCTGAAGAATGCCGACAGTAACGCTGAGGTGAAGGGTCTCGATGTCAACACACTCTTCATCTCCCACATTCAGCCTACATTCAGCCTGCTCCCCACCAATAGATGGAGCTTGTTTCCAAAAAAAAAAAAAGCCTACATTCAGCCTGAGGTCAACAAGGCACAAAAGCAGAGGAGGAGGACCTATCGTGCTCACGGCCGTATAGATCCCTACATGTCATCACCATGCCACGTCGAGCTTATTCTGTCTGAGAGGGAGGGACCTGTGAAGGAGGTTGATTCCGAGCCTACCGCCACGAAGAAGCGAAAGGGACCTGCCCACATCCGCAGTGGAGCCACGGCGTAGTGGGGATGTAGCGTGCTTTTCTGGCAGAAAGGAATGATCTCGAAAGTATTCTTTACGTTCTGAATTTGAGCATTGAATCGAGTTTTGAAGAGGACGGAACAGCCGTAATTCCCTTTCCGTTTTGAAGACATCCGTTGTTGGATGTTCTGGTGGTCCCATTTTTCCAGCGTCGGTATACGTTTTGGGCCTAATTGAGCCGAACGAAAACGAAATGTTTCTTTGTTTGAAGAGGGGAAAAAAAAAAAAAAAAAAAAAAAAAAAAAACAGTCAGTTTTAACTTCTAACTTTTACGAAATGTCAGCGCAGACAGTCTCCAAGGCATGTCGTGACGGA